TTTATTATTATTATTTTGAAGGGGGGGGAGTGAGGAGGGGGGGGGCTGGCACCGGCTATAAAGGCAGAGCTCCCTGGAGCAGCCGGCACTTCCCCGCCACCATGAGCGCTCCCCTGGCCTGACAGCCCCTGCTTCCCCGGGGCTCGCTGGCTCATGCCACCATAAAGCGAGGCTGCGTGCCTGCGGCAGCACCGGGGTGGGATGGTGTGAGCCCGGAGCAGCTCTCCTCCCTCCCACCGCCCTTCGGCTGGCTCTGGCAGGAGGCAAACCCGCCAGCCGCTTGGATGATTTGATTTCTTCCCTGCCCGAAATTACTCCTGCCCAGATGCAGTGGATAATATTCATGTTGCTGTTATTCATCAGCTCCATGGAAATGCTCACGCAGAACCGATGGAAGAAGCAAGGTAAGGTGTGCGTGGCCAGCTCGTCCCACTCAGGTATTGCGAGGCAGCTCAGGGACACGGGGCTGCTGGACCCTGCCAGCACCGGAGCCGCCGGTGCTGCCTGTGCGGAGCAGGCGGGAGGTTGGAAGGAACCGGGAAGCAGCATCCTCCCAACCCGACCCCTTGGGCCCCGTTGGAGACCGGCTGCATTCCCCTCTCGGTGCATGGCGCAGGGCTGGCTCAGGGTAGGTGCGTGGAAAAGGCATTGCCTGCCCAGTGCCAGTCCTGCCCTCGGGGCTGGCAGGGGCCAGAGGGACGCTGGCTGGCACGGGGACCAGCTTTGCAAATCCCAGGAGAGCCGGGCACAGTGGGGATAGTGCAGAAGGGGCTGATTTTCCAGTATTTCCCTTCTCTGCTTAACGCATTAAGTACATGGGGAGGAAAACCTCCTGGAAGGTTGCTCAGAGCCACTACAGGCACTGCCTGTCCCCCCTGCCCCATCCTTCCCCCCAGCAGAGGCACCAGCTGAGCTGCTGCTCGGTGCCAGGGCAAGGGCAGGGTGCGTGCCAGAGCTGTGCCGAGGCACGTGTACCCCTCCGTTGAGCACCGGCTCGTGTCCCCTCACCGAGCAGTGCCAGTCGGCTGTGGGAAGCAGGGCCAGGGCTGATGCTCAGCTCTGTGCTGGGAGCAGCTCAGTTTGGAACCGGCTTGTGCCAGGGCAGGGACAGGACCTGGTGGGACCAGGGCTCTCGGGGGCCAGGGGTTGGAGCCCGGACAGCTTTCCTTGTGGTTGTTGCATGTTAAAGACATGCGGAGGCAATGGGCACATGTGATTATGCGGGCCACCGGGCTGGCTGCCGGAATGCCCCTGATCGGACACAGCCTGGCGCCAAGAGGGGCTCAGGGTGCCACGGGGCCAGTGCTCCGGCTGCTGGCGTTCAATGCAGAGCGTTCCGATGCTACGGGATGCATGGGGGCCTCAGGTCCCAGCAGCACCCAGGGGTCTGGCCACAGCTCCCGTTGTCTCTCCCAGTACAGAAGGGCTGGCACGATCTCTGGGGGCTGGGAGCCACGAGGGATGCTGCAGCCCCCCACCGCTGCCCTGCTGCCACAGAGGGGACAGTCTGGGCAGCCCAGAGCCCAGGAGTCTCCCGGTGCCTGCAGAGCCCACAGCGGCAGAGCTGGGCTCAGGGCGAGCCGCGGTGGGTGACGTTGCACTGATGTCCGGCACAGCCCAGGCAGGGAGCGCCCGCCCGGGCACCCCAGTACACCATGAGCCCCCTGCCCAGTGCCAGTCTCAGCTCGTCCCTGTGCACTGGATCTGCAATCGATGCTGGGCAAGGGGAGGCAAACCCACCAGGCGTCCCTAATTTCCCCAGTCCCATGGTTTCGGCGTGAGCCACGTCCCATTGTGTGGCACAGCCTTCCGCCGGCTCTGCGGCAGCTCCCGGGTGTTGCTCCGGGCGGCAGAGCCACGTGCCATGCCGGCAGCCCCGAGGCTTGCGGGACAGAGGAGAGGGATCTGGCCGGCCAAGCCTTCCCCCGGCTCCGCACCATGGGGCTATTTTTAAAGCCGGTGACGGGAATGAGGCCCTGGAGCCTGCGCAGGGCTCCCCACCATCACTGCCCCAGACGGGGGTTGGAAGGAGAGCGGCAAAAAAAAAAATCATCAAAAAGAATTAGGGAAGGGAAAGAGGCTCGTAAATCCCTGGGTCTCCAGGGAAGCCGCTCCAGCTGCAGCCAGGAACACAAATGTTGTCAGCATTTGGTAAATATGTAACGGAGACCATAACAACTTAATAGATCCAAGGTGCTTCGTTAGTGCGCTCCCAGCAGAAGCAGCCCTAACGAAGCCTCCTGGCCACGCCATGCCACGCTGCCGTCCAAGCCCCTGTGCCCCAGCGAGGGGACCAGGATGAGCCAGCTTGGGGACAGCTACACAGCTCCAGGGACCGGCTTGCACCTGGGAAAGCTGTGCCGGGGACCAGCACACAGGGCTGCGAGGCATTGCCCACCAGCATCTCCCCCGGTTTCCCCAGCACCAACTTCTGCTTTCCACCATCCCCTCTGCACCAGCCACCGCAGCTGTGGGGTCCTTCTGCTGTCAGCTTGTGGGGGATCAGAGAGGATCGGTGCCAGGCATCGTTCCTGGGGCTGAAACCCGTGTCTGTGCCGGGCAGTGCCCAGCACAGCAGCTTGTTTGGCTCACCCTCGCCCGCTCGGCTCTGCGGGGACTGGAGCTGCTAGGGCTTGGACCCGGGGGTCCGCATCAGCCCCTGCCAGTCCCAACCGCAGGCGCTGGGCTCTGCTCTGTCCAGGGCAGCCACCTCCTTAGGCGTTCTCTATGTGCAAAAAAAACCATCTTAATGCTCCAAGATCTGCTGGCAGATGGAGCCCTGGGCCCGAGCATGCAGTGTTGGCGCTGCTGGCACCGTCACCGCTGCACGACACGAGCCTTTGCTCAGCAGCGCCCGGGGGACCCCACGGTGCCAGAGCCGAGCAAACACTTCCCAACACAACCGGGCACAGCAAAAGCATCGTCCACCTGCACGCAGGAGCTTGGTGGCCCCTTACGGAGATGGCCAGCCAGCTCGGGGGTGCAAAAAGACACCGGGCGCAGGTAGCCCCACTGCTGGGGCCACAGCTATCCAGCTCCCAAAGTGCCCCCGTGCTGGAAGCACCTCTCTGGGCTGCATTTCTCTGGGTGCAGGGAGCTGGCTCGGGGAGGAGGAGCGGTTGGCAGGGTCTCTGCAGGCCTGGCGGGGGCTGGCAGCCCGTCCTTGTCCCTGGGAGCAGAGCCCACCTCAGGGCTGGCTGCCGTCACCCAGGTTGGGAGCACTGCAAAGGCAGCCAGGGAGGCGGCAGAGGCTCTTGAGCAACCAGACAGATCATTATCTCGGCTCCTTTTGAACGTTTCCAAAATGCTCTTTGTCCCCTGACACTTAGCAGGCATCAACTAATTAATCCAGGTCAGAGCATATTTCTACCCGCTGATTGAACCGTTGTTTAGGATGCTTCCCACGGGACAGGCACGGCTGATGTAGGGACAGGGCTCAGGCTGGCACCCTTGGGCAGAGCTGGACACGGGGCAAACCCTCAGTCCTGGACCTTGGCGCGATGGAGGCGGTGATGCCCGAGCTGAGCGCAGTGGGGAGCGACGGCTTTGCACGTCCCCACGCTGCCAGCCTGCAGAGAGAGGGGGGATTTGGGGAGCGGAGGGAGGTGGGGAGGCATTTGCAGGGAAAGGGGACAGTGCTGTCACCCCCACGGGTTGAAGAGGGGCTGCCGCGGGGCTGGGACCCTCCCCGGTGCCTCGGCCGTGCCGTGCACGTGTGCCGCAGTCGTGCCGCAGCCCCTCTCCTCCATTTGTCCCTGCAGCGAGCGCTGGCCTGCTGGAGAACTGCACGGGCTGCGTCCTGTGCTCGGAGGACAACGGCTGCATCACCTGCCACCACCGGCTCTTCCTGCTCATCTGGAGGGACGGCATCCGCCAGTACGGCATGTGCGTCCACACCTGCCCCCCCGGCTACTTTGGGGTGCGAGGGCTGGAGGTCAACAGATGCACAAGTACGTCCCGTGACAGCCAGGGCCCCCTCCAGCTCCTCCCAGTACCCCCACGTCCCCTCGCCGCCCCGCTGTGGGAAGGGCGATGGCTGCGTTTCCCGCAGCATCCCCGGCGGCACAGAGCCAGGGGCAGCGGCGAGACCTGGGGGCAGCCGGGCCGTGGGGCTTCTTCCCCTTTTCCCTTGCCCAGAGCTGCAGCCTGGACCCTGCAGGTTTACAAAGGGCTTTGGGTCCCCGGCGGGCACCGGGGCTACCAGCTCCGGGCTCGCCACGTGCTGGCCCTTGGGCTTGCCCAACTGACCAGCCCTCCTTCCCGGCAGAGTGCAGGTCGCCCAGCTGCGAGAGCTGCTTCAGCAGAGACTTCTGCATGAAGTGCAAAGACAAGTTTTACTTGCACAAGGGCCAGTGTTTTCGGCAGTGCCCCCCCAGCACCACGGTGCAGCCTGGCACCCGCGAGTGCCAAGGTAAGCAGCACCCGCACCCTGTGCCCGTGGTCCCTGGGGATGTGCCCCGGCGCTGGGTGGTCACTGTCCCCATTCTGCACCCCTGTCCCCCGCAGAGACGTGCGAGCCGGGACCGTGGAGCGAGTGGAGCGCCTGCACCCACGAGGGCCGGACCTGCGGCTGCAAGTGGGGCGTGGAGACACGGGTCCGGGAGGTGCCGGGGGCTCCCCGGGAGGAGGGGGCCGCCTGTCCCGCGCTGCTGGAGACGAGGAAGTGCCGGATGAGGAAGCACTGCCCGGGAGGTGAGCACCGAACCGCCTGACGCCCCCAGGTCCCTGGGACGGCTTTGCACCCCTCCAAAGTGAGCCCCGAGGCGTGCCACGGGAGGGGGGGGCGGTGGCGGCGGTCCGGTGGTGGCCGGCGAGCCTGGCTGTCGTCTCCCAAGCATTTTGAAGCCAGTGGCTGTAACTGTGCAGTTCTGGAGAAAGCCGCTTTCTCAGGCACATGTGCTGAGCAGCCCCGGCGTTGGCGCTGGCGCTGGCTGCGGGGCTGGCAGGGACCCCTGCGGGCAGCGTGCCAGGCTGGCTGCTCTTACCCGGCAGCCCCCGAGACCGCCTGGGACCGGCCGGCGTCCCCTTCGACCGCTGGGCTGGGACAGGCGCTGGCGTGAGCTGCCGCGGTGGGACGAGGCTGCCGAGCTCCGGCTCCCGTCCTGCCACGCTTGCAAAGGGAAAGGCACGGCCGGGGCTTTCTGCACTGCAGTTGTGAATATGGAGGGTTGAGACCCGCAGTGGAGGTTCCTGCCAAAACCTCCGAGCCCCCAAAATATCTGGAGCGCTTGCGCAGCTGGAGGGCATCACCCAAGGAATTTCGGATGGCCAAAGCTTTGGGAGACACCCCAGGGCAGGGTCTGACTCCGTGGCTCGCCTGGCCAAATGTTCGCCCCTACTCCTGCACCTCCTCCCACCGTGGCAGCACCACATCCCCCGGGCTGGGGGCTCCCCGGCACGGGGCTCCCCGCCACCTCTCGCAGCACCAAGACCTGGCGCGGGGTCCAGCCGGGCAGCGTGGGCGCGGGTGCGTGGCTGGCGCTGGGAACCAGGAGGCGGCTGATGTCATTTTTGGATGCGACCGTCTGGACCGAAGCTGTTCTAATAAATTTCCGCTTAATAACTGGCAGAAAGAGGGATTGCATGAGATACCGATCTGTAGGGCCTGGAAGGAGATCTAAGCCGCCGGCCCCAGCGGTGCAGAGGTCTGCGGTTCAGAGCTGCGGGCTCACTATGTGCCGTGGGATGCGCCGGCCGGCACCGCCAGCACGGCGGGGGCCGAGGGCGGCAAAGGAAAGGACTGCAAGGGGGGGGGGAAGAGAAAAAGGATGGAGAAAGGGGGACAATAACAGAAGCTGTGCGTGCTGGGGCTGGGGCTGTGGAGCCAGGAGAGCAGCTTCATCTCCGCATCATCAATCATAAATAATATTTTCCTGCTGACAGCACGAAGGAGCTGATTTCCATCCCCGCCCAGGCCCCGACTCACAGCTTCGGGGTGCCAGGTGGCATCGATTTCGGGGACGTTCCCCTCCCTGCTGGGCTGCGCCGGCTCCGGACCCGGAGAGCTGGTGACAGTTTGATGCGGCGAGTTTGGCGTGGGAGGACGGGCTGCTCCCGAGCGTGGCGTCCCGCGGCGCAGTGCCAGGCGGGTGCCTGCGGTGCCGTGCTCGTGCCCAGCCCTGCCTGGCATGCGGCGGGTCCTGGCGGCGGGGACCGTGGCACCGGTGCTTCAGAGGCACCCCGTCTCGTGAGAAGGCAACGGCACCCCTGAAAAGCTCTTGGCTTCCCGGCTCTGCCCAGGCACCCGCTCCTGCAAGCTGGGGGCCCAGAGGCCATAGTGATGGGCTCAGGGAACGGCGGAGCTCCTCGCTCAAGTCTGCTACCTGGGATCAGCTCCGGAGACAGGTCTGGCCCCACGAAGGTGGAGGGAAATCCCGTCAGTGCCCCACGAGCAGCCCCTGCTGCCTGCTGCCCCAGCCGGGTGGGCAGGAGAGGGCAGCCCCTCCATGTCTGGCAGGCTGGCCTGGCCGCCAGCTCCCGGGCAGGCTGCTCGGCGTCCCTGCCGTGGCGAAGCGTGTGTCTGCCCTCGCTCCCAGGCTCCTGCCCGCCCGGCCAAGTGCTGGGTTATAGGATCCAGATGCTGGAGGAGGACGATGAGTTCACTTGATGCGGCCGAGACACCCCCAGCCCGGGTGAGCCGAGGAAGGCAGTGGGACCCGATCGTGTGATGAGAGATTTGTGCCACCACTTCTGAGCCATCCCCAGGCGGCTGGAAGGGAGAAGCATCCACGCTTGGCCGAGGCACAAAACCCCTCATGCTGCCGTAAATCTGCCTTTTGTGTCTGCCGCGCTCTCCAGACGCTTGGCGTTCGTGCTGTGCCCTCTCCTTTGTGGGTGGCAACTGTCTGGGAGATCAGAGGCGAAAAACAGAGCCGGGCAGGAAAAGAGCTGGAGCCCTCTGAAAGGATCGGCGACAACAGCGCTGGCGCACGCAGCACCGGCCGGTCGCCGTCCCTGTGCCCCTCACGCCGGGGCTGTGTGGGGAGAGCGGCACCGGACCCCCTCCGTGTCACCTGGCTCGGCATCAGGAGAGCACGTGGTGGGCACGGGAGTAGAAGCAGAGGCGAAGCTGCCAGGTTTTTGGGCAGCCATCCCGCTCCCCAGCGTGGGCTGTCCTTCCCGTCGGAGCCCACGGCATGGCGAGGCTTATCCTGCATCCCTGTTCGGTGTCTCGGCACTGATCCGTCAGCCAGTGGAGCAGGAGCAGAGGGTGCTTGGGTCAGCCCCTCGGGGTGCGCAGAGATTTGGGTCCCAACCGCCTGCCCACGCAGCTCCGAGTCCCTGCCAGGCTATCACCGGGTCGGTCTCACCGGGATGCAGCCGGGCTCTGGCGGCACGTGGGTCGTGCCGCCTGGGCAGGGAGCATCCACGTAGGGAGAGCATCCCCAGGGAGATCATTAGCACGTATGCGTAGATGCACCCTGAGGTCACACTGCTTCCTATCGTGCCCAAACCCTCCCAGGGGCGGCTGGGTCCTGTGCAAGCCCACGGTGGTAAGCAGCACTGTCTTCTCCAGACTTCTCCAGCCCTGCAATTGCAGCAGAACCAGGTGTGGCCACGCACCGTGGCAGAGCCTGGCATGGCCATGGCATCAATTTGGGGCGTTGGTGCAGGCACTGTCCCACTGCAACATCCCCAGTCCTTGCTCAGACAGAAGTTGGGGTATCTCTGGGCAGCCCCCCAGTTTGGCTGAGCTGGCTCCAGCCCATTGCTGGAGATTTTGGGGGTATCAGGATGTAGGGTCCAGCCATGGGAGCCGGCGGGACAACGCATCGGTGTCCCTCTGCCTGTGCTGCCAGGCACACCCAGACTCCCCGCAGACCCACACTGCTCTTTGGTGACCTGGAGAGGGGTCTGGGCTCCCCCAAATCGGGAAGAGGGTCTTGTGCTAACACCTGGGGGAGGACGCGAGGTCTGCATCCCACGGATGGGGCTTGGGCCGGATCCTGCTGCCCGGCCAATGAGCGAACCCTCCTTTTCTCCTCCTTTTTCTATTCCAGAGAAAACTGAACCCAAAAATAAAGGCAAAAAGCGACAGAAGAAGCCGAAGACAGAACCGCATGCGGGTACCTAGCGGCACTGGCATGGGAGCCGGGGCAGCGTGGTGGGAGCCGGTCGGGAGCTCACCGTGCCGTCGGCTGGCAGCATGGTGAGCTCCCGACCGGCTCCCGCCGTGCTGCCCCGGCCTCATCACCCCCATTTTTCCATCCACAAAAAAATTGCACAATTTTCTCCCCCTCCTCCCCTTTTCTTCTGAGACAATTTATGGCCTGTAAAACATTTCCTTTTCAGAAAATCTAATTTACAGTGTCCAAAGCAATGCCCTGGGGCTCGGGGAGGGGGTGGCTCCTTTATTTTTTTGTTTCTCCCTCTCCCCCAACCTTCTTGGTCCCTTCCCTTGCTCCAGCCGGGTGGGATGGGGCTGATCCCAGGGTTGGACCCCGTGCCTGCCTGGGTACCGTCCCCCAGGGCTGGGAGATGCCCTGTCCCCACGGTGTCCCGATTGCACAGGGGTGCTGGGGTGCACAGCGTGCCACCGAATTGCTTTGGGTGCTAGATAGGGTCCCCCATCCTCAGCCAGCGGCACAGAGGATGGTGGGACCCCCAGACTGGGACCCCACTGGGGACCATGCAACCGCTTATGGCAGCCCAGCACAGCACTCAGCATCCCCATCAGCACAACCATGGGCCAAATCCTGCCATCCTCGGGCTCGCAGCCTGCGGAAGGCTGGAAGAGCTCCCCTCCCCAGCTGAATGTGGGTGCAGGAATTTGGGGTGACCGTGGCTGCATTTGGTCCAGGACAAGGGGTGCGTACCCCAGAGCAAGCCCGGGCGGGGGATGCTGCTGCCTCCTGCGCTGGGAGCAGCCACCACAGCCCCCTCCCAAATGTCACCTGGGACACGACCTGGGGGTGCTGAGCCTGGCCCCGTGCCGGCGCATCCCTCCGAGCCGACTGCCTGCCGAAATAAACAGCGTACATCCATGAGGCATGGAGGGCTGTATCGGCACATTGAACGTCCGTTTTGCTCAAAGTGCTGCCCCAGCCACAGGCATCGCTCTATCTGGGGGCTTCCTGGGGTCACAGGCCCCCGTCCCTGCTCCAAGCGTGGGCAGGGGGAGGCCAGGTCTGGCAGTGGGGTGTCGGGGTTGCGGGGGCCATGGGGGCTGCAGGGGCACGGTCCCTTCAGGGTGAGAGCGCTGGGTGTCAGCATCGAGCCAGCCCCGAGAGCTGGCACGAAGCCGCCACGGCAGCTCCTCTGTTCGCTTAATGTCAAATAAATGTATTAAAGCCTCCGGCTTCCCTCTTGCCTCCCTGTTTTCCTCATTTCCACAAGGTGCTGGATGGGGATGCCGGCTGCGGCCATGGCATTACCCCTCCATTCCCTGGCCCCGCTGCGGTGGGAGCGGGCAGTGGGCACGGCTCGTGGCACTGCCAGGGGTGCGGGAGCATCTGTGCCCCCCTGAGCCCCTCCGGCACATGGCTGGACCCAGACCCTGAAGCGGAGGCGGAAGGCAGCCACTGGCATCGGACTTCTCCATCCCATAACCTGCAGCTGCATGTGCCCCACAGCGTGGCTCCCGGGGGGGGGGGCACCCTGGCCTCCAGGCACCTGGGTGTTCGGGGAAAGGTTTTATTTTAAAGTTTTTATTTAAAGCATCATCAGCATTGCTCGGCGCCCAAGCCAGCGGCTGGAGCAAGCGGCAAGCAGCATCACCGGGACTGCTGCCCAGCAGGTATCCCGGGCTCAGCTCTGCCACCGGGAAGCACCGAGGGGCTCGTCCAGCCGGTTGCTAATTGCCATGAGAGCAGTGGGTCTGGCAGGACTCCGCTCGCAGCGATGGCCGGACCCAGCCACGTAGTCCGGTTACGATGAAGGCACAACCGCAGCACGCCGGTCCCGCAGCAGCTCTGGTGTTTCCCTCGGGAGGCTGAAGCCCCCCTGCTCACCGGGCAGTGTGGCTCCGTGCTGCAGACAGTGCTCCCACCAGCTGCTCCGCCACCGGGGTTCACAGCATCCCCGGCCATCCCGCAGTGACCGGGATGGCAGCGGGATCCCTTCCCCGGATCCACGGCTGTGTGAGCAGCCCGGCACGTGGGAACACGTGCCCCCCGTACTGGGAGAAACTCACCCTCTCCTGATATACGTGGACATCCCCATGCCCAGCGAAACCCGCTCTCCCATGCCAGCCTGTCCCCACCACTGTGGTTGTCCCCTCTGGGGGGACCCAGCCTAGGTCTAACCCAGCACGTAGGCTGGCAGCCGCGGTGACACCCGGCTGCTGGCACGCAGCCCTCCCAGCCTCCGGCGGACCCCCAGACTGGGACCTGGGCACCCCGAGCCCTGCACGGGGTCCGGCTGGGTCCTGCCAAGCTCTGCCTGGGACATAGCCCCCATCCCGGTCCCCACAGGCTCGTCTTGCAGCCAGAGCAGCCAAATCCATGCCTGGCTCCCTCCAGCGTTATAAATAGCCGGGACGCAGGGAGGGAGCTGTGCTCCCCGGGATGGGGGTGTCCTGGGGGTGGCGGGTCCCAGCGGGTGCTGATCGGGGGGGACTCGCTGGGTGCTGGGGCCAGACGGTGGGAGGGCTTGGTGGTGGCACAGGCAGCTTGGCCCCGTTGGCCGGCGGTGCTGCCGCGGCGCTGCCCGCCCTGGGAGGTGCAATGAGCTGCGCAGAGAATGGCCGGGGGGGGCCAACGGGTGTGTGTGGCCGGGGGAGGGACAGGGGCTACTTGTGCGAGTGTGTGCGAGTGTGTGTGTGTGCGAGACATTTATAGATCACGTGTGAAACTTGATCTCCCCGCAGTGGTCTAGGAGGAGAGAAAAAAGATAGAAGTATTGTTTTTAAACAGATTTTTTCCTTTGTTTTTCTTTTTTTTTTCCCCTCTCCCCCTGCGAGGGCTGCGGCCGCCTGGTGATAAAAGGCCGGGGCGGCCAGAGCCGGCTCAGAGGGAGGAAATGCCGAAATTGCAGCGTTTCGACTCGGCGGCGAGCGCCCACTGACCCATCCCAGCAAAGAGCGGTGTCGTGGCCGCCTGGGAAGTGCCGGCGCATCCCCGGACGAGGCACCCCGCTTTTACTATTCCCCCCGCTCCCAGCCCGGTGCCACGGGGACCCCCGTGCCATGCGGGCTCTCAGCTTCAGCCTCGTGGCCCTGACCTGTGCCACGACGGTGCTGTGCGTGGCCGGAGCCCAGCGCCGGGCGCTGGAGGGGGGCGGCCGCCGGCGTTACCACCGGGTACAGCACGGCCACTGCAGCTACACCTTCGTGCTGCCCGAGGCCGACCCGCCGCCCTGCCCGTCCGCCCCCGCCCCCCCCGGACCCGCCAACGCTTTGCTGCAACGGGACTCGCCGGCCGGCACCACGCACGCCGGCTACGGGGCCGCCGAACGCCTGCGGCACCTCGAGAGGATCCTGGAGAACAGCACCCAGTGGCTGCTGAAGGTAGGGTGCTGGGCGACGGGGGGGGCGGGTGGCAGGGTGGGCAGGGGTTTGCCCCCAACACCCAAATGTGCAGCATCCCCGTACCGGCTGCCTGCTCCAGGCTGCCGGAGGCAGAGCTGGTTGTGCGGGGGGTTTCATGCCCACCCAAGCTGCAGCAGTGCGGCCAATTCAGCATCTTCCCTGCAGGTTTGTGACCTGGGCCTGATCCTGGCACTGACTTCTCGGAGGGGATGGATGCTGTGGGTGCTACAGCTCGTGAGTGCTGCAGCTCATGGGTGCTGCGGCTCCACCGGTGCTTGCCGCTGCGGCTGTATCTCCCTGCCATCCCTGCCGTGGCTCCTTGTGGTCCCGGCTGGGCTGGCTGTGCCAGGCATACCTTGGGGGTCAGCGCTCCCCATTCTGGGTCAGGATGCGGCCCTGCTGGAAAGCTCTTGGGAAGCGTTTTGGCAGGCGGCGGAGCAAGGGACCTAAGGGCAGGGGCCGCTGAAACCTCTCCAGCCTCATTGTTTTCCCACTTAGGGGCTTTGCAAAAGCTCCTGGTGCTTAGTGAGACTTCGAGTGGGACCCACGGATCCCGGGCAGCCCTGCAGTGCATGGGCAAGCGGGACAGTGCAGGGTGGGGGGCAGCGGGGTGCCACGCCAGAAGGGCTGCTTGCCCACGGGGGTGCCCCCCACCCCGGCTCACCCCATTCCCGCTGCCCACAGCTGGAAGTGGAGTTTCCTTCCCGAGGGCTGGCGAGTGCCGATGGACCCCCCCATGTACCAAGCGCAGCCGCCTGCGTCAGACCCAGGAATAGCTCCTGGCCGGCTTGTCCCGTGCGACACTTCCCTGGGGGGCTGTAAACCCTGCACCCTGGCAAGGCAGTGGCACCGTGGCCCTAGGTGCCTGTGCTGATAAGAGGGCGAGCGGCTTGTCCCTGGCTGTCACTGACCCTCCAGCCGAGCGGCATCGCCAGCACAGCCGTATCCACGTCCTGGCAGTGTCCCTCTGGGACCTGCATGCCTCTGCACCCCAATTTCTTGGATGACGTCCCCAACCAAGCAGGGCCAGTGGCACTGCAAGGTGGTGCATGCCGAGCCCTTGCAGCGCTCAGGGCTGGGGCTGGGGCCAAATGTGCGGAGTGGGGGTCCCAGGGGTGGTCTGTGCCAGCCACACTGCTCGGGGAGCCTCTCCTGGCCATGGGAGACAGGGAGGGCAGCAGGGACGTGCAGACCTGTCCCCTTAGCCATCCTAGATGACAAATTCCTCAAAAGCTGGGAAAACGCTGAGCCACGGCTCCACTGAAAGCCAGCCCGGGGTGTTGCAGAGGGACAGGCACAGCCAGCCACCACCTGGCTGGTGGCAGAGAATCTCCATCACTGCGGGACCTGCTGGGTCTGCAGTGCATGCACAGCCCTGGGTCTCTGCACCCTGGGGTCCCTGCCTTGGGGTCCCTCTGCCCTGGCATCCCTATGCCCTTGGGGTCCCTGTGTCCTGGAGTCCCTTCCCTGGGGTCCCTGCCTTGGGGTCCCTCTGCCCTGGGTGCCCAGGACAGCTCTGAGGTCCTCTCGGGGTGAGGGCAGCTTTTGGGCATGGCCAAGCAAGGCAGGGGGCAGGGGGTCCCATATGGCCCTGCCCCAGAACAGGCAGCCCACAGGCAAAGTAGGGCCGCACATCTGGGCAGCTGTGGGCAGCGATGCCCCACACCGCAGCCCCAAGGAGCACAAGGCAGTGGGGCACTGGGCAGCCGGTACCCCATCCCATCCCAATCCCATCCTATCCCGTAGCATGGCCCTCTCCGTTTAGAGGCAGCTTGCAGCTTTTTTTTTTTTTTTCTGTTGTTCCTTGGCTTTCCTAATTTAACCGGAGCTGCCCAGAGAGGCTTGTTTTGGTCGGACTCCAGGCCTGAACAAACAAACCAGGGCTTGAAGGAGGCATCAGGTTCAGGAACAGATTGTAAACAACATCGCATCCCTGTCTGCTCTGCCCTGGCCCAGGGAGCCCTGCCGGGTGCTGGGGGCTGGGAGGCCTGCAGGAATTGAAAAGCCCCTCAGCACCCGGACACCACTGGGGACCCCCAGCACCCAGCCTCCCCAGGGAATCCCATTCCCAGCACTGGGGTGCTGGTCCACCCACCCCATGTGCAGCCCCCCACGGTCGGGAGGGACAGGAACATGGCGAGGACCCAGCACACGAGGACACGTGGCTTCTCCTCGCCGTCCCGTCGGCTGTTCCCATCTCAGGAGGAATTAATTTTAGTTCAAACACAAACATTTGATGGTGCCGCTGGGTCTGGGGCGGCAAGGGGCTTGGGGAGGGATGGAGTCCCCAGTGGGGCAGTGGCAGGTTCACAGCTCTGGGGTACCCGCACACAGGGGCCGGTGCTGCTCACCCTGGCGTGGGTGCAGGGAGCAGGTGGGGGGAAAGCCCCCCACCTCTGGCCCTGGGGCCCCCCCTGCCACTGCTTGCAGGATGCTCAGAAATGCCAGGGCAGGATGGGGACAGTGACAGGGGAGGGATGTGGCTGCAAGCAGGTGGCACAGGACCATCCAGATGTGGGCAATGGTTCCCTGGCACTGGGACAGCGGGGTGGCCGGGGTCCCTCCTGCTCCAGGGCAGCGTTTTGGGGTGACCCACATCACCACAGTCCACCCCCCAGCTACTCTGCCCTTCTTGGGGAGGAACGGGGCTGGTGGGACCCCTCCGAGCCCAGGCGAGCCTCGGCACCCGTGGGGTGAAGGGAGGGTGATCCTGGTTTCCCAGCCCTCTGCACAGAGCCTGTCCCACTTGGGTCCCCTGTGTCACCCGAGGCTGGGGACACTGTGCCCCCCTCCAGCCCCAGCTGCTCCCAGGGAGCTACTGGGGCCGGGAGCTGGGGCTATTTCTCCGGCTGCGCTCAGGCCTCCCCATGCCAGCCTGACCTTTTCCATGGGTATGTACTGGCCTTCGGCTCAGAGATATGTTTATTTAAAAAAAAAAAAAAAAGAAAAAAAAAAAAAGCGCAAGATTGAGAGGGAGAAAAGGCCTCCCCGAGCCCTGTGAAGCAACAAGATTAACGACGTGGTTAAAGGGAAACTCTCCAGCAATCACTCAGCTCGGGGAAATGTTTTCCAGACGTGGCTCTCCGACCTTTCCCCGCTTCCTCCCCGCGAGCACGTTCCCGCAAGGGAAAATCCTTAGGGAAGCAGGGCGCAGGCAACGCCGGCTGGGGTGCTCAGCCCTGGGACCCTCCCGCCCTCCGTGGGTGCTGGCGGTAGGGCGATGATTTCACCGCTGCCCGGTTCTGGGGAGGAGAGAACATGGCCGCACCGCTGCCAGCGAGATTTCATCATGCGCAAACAAGTGCAGGGCAGAGCCCTGTGCCCTGGCCCCATGCCGGTCCCGTTCCCGCGCCAAGCATCCCGGCACCGCTGCCTGCCCGCCACGGTGCTGAGCATCCCGGCACCGCTGCCTGCCCACCACGCTGCCCGGAGAGCAGCATCCCACCCTGGCCTGTCCCCTCTGGTCCACAACCCCACAAGATGCATGGGGATGCGGGGGTCTGCCTGTAGAGCAGGATCCGGGCAATGCCAGGGACAGAGGGATCTGTGGGGTGGAGGGAACCGGGCAGCCCCCATCCCCTCCCGCTTTTGGGGGCTGCCCGGTGCGGAGCCGCTTTCCCAGCGTGGGCGGCAGCGCGGCCCCTTCCGCTCCCCGCGGCCCCCGCCGAGGGACCGTGCCCCTGCCGAGGCCGTCGCCCCGGGGAGGGACCGAATGGGAACCTCATGGCGGGGCCGCCAGAAATAGAAAAGCCTTTGGGAAAGGCGGCTGCCCCGCGGGCTGGGAAAGCGGAAGCGACATCTCAGCTGTGTCCGCAGCGGGCTTCTTCCCAGCCCCGAGCGCTTCCCCGTAGCGGGGTAGCACCGGGTGCCGGACACCCACACCTTCTCTGGCCGATGGTGGCCCCCCACCCTCCGCGTTCCCGGCCCTGGGAAACCGGTGGCTGGGGGCTGGCAGCTGACGCTGATGCCAATGCCGATGCCGGCTACTCCCTGCCTGGCTGCTCGGCACAGGCCACCCTGGCTAGGCAGCAGCCCCAGCTTGCCAGCAGACCTGGGCACACACAAGTCCATGCCAGGTCCCAGCTGGCACCCCAGCCCAGGAATCTTGGCAGCCGGTGCGTGAGGAGGCTTCCCCCGCAGCAGCGCAGCCGGTGGGCAGCTCACTCTGTCCTCCTGATAAGCTTCAAAGGGCCCTGAGATGGGTCATATCATGCTGAGAAGCTCCCAGGGACGTGCCCGAGGGCTGTGCCGAGCCGTGCCAGGCTCAGCCGGGGAGCCAAGGGAAGACCCAGCGAGCTCCGGGAATGACCCGCCATGTCCCCGCTCCTCTCCACAGCTGGAGAGCTACATCCAGACGAGCATGAAGCCGGAGATGGCGCAGCTGCGGCAGACGGCGGTGCAGAACCAGACCGCCACCATGCTGGAGATCGGCAGCACCCTCCTCAACCAGAGTGCTGAGCAGAGCCGCAAGCTCACCGACGTGGAAGCCCAGGTAGGGGGTGCCCAGGGTGAATGGCACACGTGTCCCCACGTCCCCACCACCCCCAGCACCGCGGTGGGTGGCAGGGTTTCTCTGCTGCTAGAAGTGGGGCGATTCCCCAAGGTGATGCATGGTTTAATGTACCAGCGTGCAGAGGTACCGGGGTTGTGTGCCGGGGAGCCGCGAGCCCGGTGACACCAGGAATGCGGTGTGGCCCCGGCTGCTCACACCGATGCTCCCCTCCGCTCCCGGGGCAGGTGCTGAACCAGACGTCGCGCATCGAGATGCAGCTGCAGGAGAACTCCATGTCCACCACCAAGCTGGAGAAGCAGCTGCTGCTGCAGACGAACGAGATCCACAAGCTGCAGAACAGGAACAAGTAGGGCCTGGGGCAGCTCGGGGACCCCCGCAGCCGCTGGACCCCAGCGGGAGGCTGGTCTCTCCCGCCCCAGGAGTGCGGCTGCACTTTGGGGGGGCTTGAACTCCTCCAGGGGCTGGCTGGCGTCCCTGGGGGATTGCACAGCCCCAGCACAGCCCCTTGGGCTTTGGTTTCCCAGAGGTGCCAGGCAGGGTGCGATTCGGTGGGTGCAGCAGGGGACGGGGACAATTCTGGGTCCCCGCAGATGTGCTGGGGCACCACAGCTGGGCCTGGGTCCACTCTGCCCCCCGCTCCCTGCCCGGCTGCTCAGTGCAGACACAACCCCCCCATCACCTCTGCCTCACCCTTTCAGCATCCTGGAGGTGCGGGTGCTCGAGATGGAGACGAAGCACCAGGCAGAGCTGGCGGGGGCCCGCTCAGAGAAGGAGAAGCTGCAGCGCCTGGTGAGCCGGCAGAGCGGCACCATCGAGGAGCTGGAGAAGTCGCTGCTGGCCGCCAGCGCCAACACCAGCCTGCTCCAGCACCAGCAGGTCCAGCTCCTCGAGTCGGTGCAGAGCCTGGTGCGCCTCGTCTCCCAGGGCAGAGGTGAGACCCCAGGGCGTGCAGGCAGGGTGCAGGCAGCAGGACAGAGCTCCTTGCCCTCCCGAGAGGGTGCCAGGGCGCTGTGCCGGCCCCGGCGTGGGTGATATTGCCCCAAAAATGACCCCTGCGTTGCATCCGAGGAGCAGCTCCGAGCCCCCAGGGGAGGGTCCGTGGCCCCACGCCGTCCCCAGCCACGGCAAATCCCCAGACTTAGGCTGGCGGCAGCCCCGGTGCAGCACGGCCAGCTCACCCAGCCCTAGGGAGACGGCGCAGAAGAAAGAAAAATAATCCGTGGGCACAAAAGCATCCAAAGGGAGAGGGGAAGAGCAACAAAACCAGGCAGGGCTGCGGGACCGGCAGGGGTTCTGCCCGCTCACCGTCCCCCCCGCTG